GGACCTTCATTTCCGTTGGCGTCTTTCCTGTCTCTGGCCATCTCTGCACAGGACAGGTGTTCTGAATTCTCTCCTGTCCCTCCGGGACCCACACGACTTTCAGAGGCAGTGGTTCAATGTTTAGTGGAATTTCGGTGGTTCTAGTTATTCCACATGGTTGTCCTGATTTCTTTTTCTTTTCTTTTGGAGAGGTTTTTTTTCTATAGGGCGTGTGCGCTTGCCAGAAAGACAGAGAGAGACAGAGAGATAGAAAGCAAGAAATCACCCCCCAGGGGAGATGGCCACGCCGCAATTCCTTCTCCTCCATTCTCCTCTCTGGATCTTGGGTACGCACGCACACACACCGTGCGTGAGTTTAAGCCACCGGGTTCTGGATTTGAACCGTGGTCGACTACATGGGAGTCTAGCGACATAGCCATTATGCTAACTTCTGGTCTCAGCCTCTGAATTATTTTTGATATAACACAAGCAAATTCCTGCCTAAGCCACTATTTTTTTTTTTTTTGGAGAGGTTTTCGCTATAGGGCGCGTGCGCTTGCCAGACAGAGAGAGACATAGAGACAGAAAGCGAGAAATCACCCCCCAGGGGGGGATGGTCACACCACAATCCCTTCTCCTCCATTCCCCTCTCGGGATCTTGGGCACGCACCCACACGTGCCCGGTACACGAACCGCGGTCAACTACGTGGGAGTCCAGCGATATAGCCATTACGCTAACTGCTGGTTCCCCCTAAGCCACTATTGATGGAATTTCTACCACTTGCCTCTTACCATGTTCTAAAGTGGTATGTGGGTTACTGCAGCTTATGGCCAAGAACCTGTGTCATCTGTGGCGTTACACGTCACAGCTGATGAGTCTGTGGGGTTTCCAAACCAGAGGCCTTTGGGGCCTTGTCTGCTGACTTTAGGGATGGGGGCAGAGGTCTCTCAGGTAAGCTCACTGGGAGAGGAAGGTGGCTAGAGGGTGTGGTAGATGGGAAAGGACCCAGGTAGCCAGAAGACCCCATAGGAAGAAAAGATGTTGATAGTAGGCAGAGAGGAAGACATGACAGTAAAGACTGGCCACTGCTGCAGGTCACAAGGGACCTAAGATGGACGCGGGACAGGAGAGAGGATGGGATCTGGGAAGAAGGAAGTGAAGTGCCGATGGGTGGGTGGTGGGGACGGGACTGGAGCTGGCGCAACCACACTTTATCATGGGATGTCTTTATCCCCAGAGTGACATTCAACAGGCTGGAGCCCCGCAGGAGCCAGAGAGGGGATCTGGGTGGTATGGATGATGTAATGCACAAGCCCCAGGAGGAGACCTGCTTCACTCCAGGGTCCAGGTTTTTGTTAGCACTTTCTTTTTTTATTGTAATTAATTAATTAATTAATTATTTTTTCATTTCATTTTCTTCCATACATTCAATCACATTATTATTTATCTTACAAAATAGATATTTAAACAGGTGTTGTTAGCACTTTCATTCCCTCATGTGAGGTTGTTAGCATTATACATATGTTCATTCACCAAACTCTTAGTTCTGCTGTCATCAGTGTGAGGGATCACATATACACAGATGAACCTGATGTTGACACACCAGGCAGGGTCACTCTGGGACAGCCGAGGAAGCTTCCTAGAAAGGACCACAGAGGTGGCTTTGCCTAGATGGCACTGGCTGCATGGCAAAGCAGGAACCTTGAGAGACTAGCAGGGCATGGGGCTGTGGAGGGGGGACTGGAAAATAAGTTAGGACCCAATTGTGCACAGGAGGCTTATATTCCATACTGTGTGGGTGGCCCTGTGGCCTAGAAGTAGAGGGAGCTGGATCCCATATAGCCAACCATGCGGTTTGAATCCATACTGTGGTGACGGGAACCCACTCCCATGCTGAGCACAGGAATCACAGTCAGGCAATTCTGAAATGATGTTCTAGAAGCACCAGGAAGAGTGGGCTGAGTAACCACTTAGGAAACGGCTATGAAAATCCAGGCACTGCCGTGTGGGGCAGGCCTCAGGTGAAAAGAGGGCCTGGGATGGGGAGAGAAAGAGAAGGGAGAAGAGCAGCAGGAGAGTGAACTGAGGGGAGAGGAGAGGCCTGAGATGGAGAGGAGACCTGGGGAAGTGCCTGGGGTGAGGGGGAGAAGAGGAGGGGAGAGAAAGTATGGAAGGGGAATAAACTGAGAGAGAAGGGAAGGGGAGGGGAGGGGTAAGGAGAAGAGCAGGGAGAAGAGGCCTGAGATGGAGGGGAGGCTGAAAATGGTGAGCAGAAGAAGAGGAAGCCTAGAAGCAGAGAGAGGCAGAGGTTGTGCTGCCTGCAGATTTCATCTCTGGGGAGATAGCCAATGGCAGAGAGAATCCATCTGGGTTCTGGAGTGAGTGCAGAGGGAGAGCTTAGTTTAGAATCACCTGAGAATCTGAGCCATGGAATGGAGGTCAATCACTGAGGATGAGCGAAAGAACAAGATCCAGTTGTGACTCTGACAGAGAAGTCTGTGGCAGAGGCAAAGGGGAACCAGGAACAGGAGAAGAGTCCAGGCCCCAGAGAAAGGGAAGCCTTCAGAGCAGGTGGTGGTGAGCATTAAAAAAAGGTGGTGGTGATCATTCCTGCCCTGTAAACCAAGGCCTGCTTAGGACCAGGGATGGCTAGTGAGGAGGGTTTGATGGTCTAGGCAGGAGCAGTTCCCACTGGGCCTAAAGAGTAATGGTCCCAGGGACCAGCAGTTAGCGTAATGGCTATGTCGCTGGACTCCCACGTAGTCAACCACGGTTCGCGTCCTGGACCCGGTGGCTTGAAACTCACGCCGGGCACGTGTGCGTGCGTGCCCAAGATCCCGAGAGGAGAATGGAGGAGAAGGGATTGCGGCGTGGCCATCCCCCCTGGGGGGGTGATTTCTCGCTTTCTGTCTCTCTATCTCTGTCTGTCTGGCAAGCCCACATGCCCTATAGCAACCCCCCCCACCCCTGCCCCACAGCACCCCCCCCCCCCAAAAAAAAGAGTAATGGTCCCAGCTAGGGCCAGACAAGAGGCACACAGGAAACACAAGCACAAAGTGATGTCTTCCAAAGCAGTCTCTTTTTATTGTTTTGATTGCCTGATATTTTCCCCTGCCACCTTCTAATTTGCTCCCAGACATTTCTGAAATCAAGCATTTGTTGACAAGAGGTCATAGAAAAAAACCACAGTTGAGCTTTAGCGTCTCATTGACTGGTCTGGAGGGCCTCTGGGTAGTCGCACCAGAGCACTGTGGAAGTCTGCTGGATTTGCCCGTGGCCTGATGCCTCCAAACCAAGCATGGGCAGCCCACATGCCTGGGAGTGTGTCTGACAGGTAGGAGTCAGTTTGACAGCTGGCGCTAGTAAAAGATTCCTGGCAACACTGGCTCCCCCTTAACAAACAGCCTGTGGACGTCTGTTCACGAGTGTGCACCCTCTATGCCTATATGGAGGAAATGAAGACTCGGGACCCTATGTGACAGGACCCAGACGGTCACAGAGACAATCTTACCTTTCACTGACTTGTGCCTTTCTTTCTCAGGAGAGGTTCCTGTTCTGGATGGAGGAGATAAATTGAGGGAAGTTATGCCTGATGACCTTGGTTAGTTTTTTTTATTATTATTATGGACAATAAAGACAAGTAGCTTCTTCAAGGTCACAAAGAATGAATGTGGAGTGAGCAGAAGAGGGTTTACTTCTATGGCTTTGCTAACGTCCACAGGCTAATTACTTTGAGTAGGGAGCTAGACTAGCCTTTCTTTCCACATCTGTCAAGGGAGGTAATTGGGTGGCTGGGAGAACAAAACCACGCTCTCCACACTGCTTGGGATGTGACTATTAACAAGGACAAGAGGGCTGAGGCTGGTCTTCATCCATCACATGAGTTTCGCATGTGATTCACTGCAACCAAAATCCCTGGTTTTGTAGATGCAGAAATTGAGTTTTAGAGAGGAAATAGTTTGAATCTTGCAACTAAGTGGCAGCCCAGGTTATATAAATTGCCTATTGAAGGTTTTCTGAATAGGAGACTAGTCCCAAAGTATTATTGGTGTTTTCCCCTGAAAGATCTTACTATTAAACTGCGGCATGTCTTTTACCCAGAAATGAGAGCACAATTTTGCTCCTGAAGGGTAGAGGGGGTAGGGGAGTGGGGAGAGCAGAGATTATTTTTTTTAATGTTTATTTATTTAATTTACTTGTTACTACCATTTATCTTTTTTTTTTTTTTTTAATTTGACCAGAGGGAGACAGAGAAAGTGAGAAAGCAAGCCACCAGGTCCGGGACTTGAATCATGGTCAGCTATGTAGGAGTCCAGCGCCCCAACCACCACACCACCTGCCGGCTCTAAGAGCAGAGATTTTTTTTGATAAAAAGGAGTCACAAAAGTGCACAGTGTATCTTCACAGGTAAGCGCAGGGCCAGGCTCCGGTTTCCATGGCTTTCTCCCGCAGAAAATTGAAGCAGAGGATGCAAGATATTTTCGGAAAGTAGGGCATCTTGAAAGTATTTCGTAATCTCTCCGAGGGGGCGACTGCTCAGGCCCGTCTGCGGGTTTCCGAAAAGGGCGATGCCCAACAGCCTCTTGCCATTCCTGGCCCGCCCAGGCTCGGTGTTGTCTGGTGGGAAGCGGACGCGGGTCGCCGCTCGACCTTGAAGGCGCGGCGCGACCTTGAGGCCTGCGCTCGCCTCAGTTGCCCCCTCAGTGCAATGGGGAGATGCGCCTCGCCGTTACAGGGTCTGGGCCGCCGTGCTCTGCCTCCGGTCAGCAACCCTCCCTCCCCTGAGAAGCCGCTGCACGCCGCCCGCGCCCAAGCCCTTAGCTACTCCGCGCCACCCCACACCGCAGCCACCGCGACGGAGCCCGCGGGCGGGAACCGGCCTCCGCATGCCAGGGCGCACGCGCGCCGCCGGTACCGCCTCTGTGGCACTAGCCTCCATCCATAGGTTCGTTGTTCTGTCACTCCAGCCTGGCCGCGGGCACAATTGGCTAGGAGAGAGGCGCGCGACCCCTGTGGGCGGGGTCCGAGCTTGATATAAAAATGGTGGTCGGCGGGGCTCGTGCCGCTTTGCAGACGCCGCTGCTCGAGTGTCTCGCCCTCAACCATGGTCAACCCTTGCGTGTTCTTCGACATCGCTGTTGACGGCGAGCCCTTGGGCCGCGTCTCCTTCGAGGTCGGGTGGCAGTGGCGCGCCGGGAGGGACTCAGGTGGCGGGTGAGGCAGACGGCCGCGCCCCGAGGGCCCGGGAGCGGGCGACCCTCCTGAGGGGCGAGCGCAAGTGGCGGCGCCATTTCCTGACGAGGGGCCATTTTGGGAGGCCGGCGAGGCACTGGGAGGAGGCCGGGGCGGTGGACAAAGGCGGGTGGGGCGGGTCGACCGCGGGGGAGGGGGCCTGCCGCCGGGCACGTGCTCAGGCCTCACTCCCGCCAGTGCCCGCGGTTTGTTGGGCGTCGCCCTAGCCCGACCTCGGTGCCGCAGGGCATCCGCGTGCGTTTTAACTGCCTCCGACGCTTAGTCTAGTGCATGGGTACAGCCGGGCGGCCACCGCCTAGGGTTCCAATTCAGGACCTGGCGCAAGATGAGCGGTTCCGCGTGAGCGCGGGTCTCTCCCGAGCCTTGGGGTTGTGTTAAAAACGCAGTCTGTTACAAGGATGTGATAGATTGCGACCTGAATGTTTTGCCAGTAGACTTAAAATAGGGACATTATTTAGAAACAGGCCCCAAACATCCCTCCCTGTCCCCCACCCCCAAGCGGAAATGCGAGCGCGCGGGCCTTGCCTTCGCTGGGACCCAAGGACCGCCTCTCGCTGCAGTGACGGTGCCGGGGGGGAGGCGCTCCGCAGCCCTTCCCGATTGTCCGTCAGTGTAATAGGCAAGTCGAGACCAGCCGCATGGCACCCTCCTACCAGGGTGGATTACCCAATGGTTACCTAATTTGTTTGGAGGGTGTGCTGAGTGAGTAAACAGTAATTGCGGCAAAATATCTAAACACCTTGGTGCATTTCTTAAACGTTAAATACTAAATGCTCTCGTTCCGGTTTACCCGACGTGGATAGGCTTTTTAGCATGGCGTAGTGAAATAAGATTGCATAGGGATTTTAACCAGTGGTAGGACCTTTTACCAAAAACAGGTTTCTCCCGCCATGCAGCCTTAGGGTGGGAGGAGGGTTCCTCTGTCTGCTGTGTCACAGTGCGGGCGCATAGTAAGCACCTAAACACTTGCTGGAGGAAACTCATAGTAATCGGACTTTATCCTGTTTTTATCTCTAGTAAGAGCTTATAATTGTCAAGGGCCCTCATAGAAACGTGGCCTCAGGCTAATGTTGGGCGACAGGTTAGTCCCAGGTTAGCCAGAAAGCTGATAGGAAATGAGATCTCTCTTGTGGCTTCTTGAGATGAGGTGGAACTGTCAGCTTCATTTTTAGTGAAGATCTAAACAGAAACACAAACTGAAAAAGACAGTATACTCGAGATAGAAATATTAGAACTAAAAAAGTCAAGTGCATTATTGTAAGAATTATACAGATAAATTAACTGCTGATTTAGCCACATCTCTGGAATAATAGTTAATAAAATTTATTTTTTAAAAAGAATCATTTTATTTACCTTTATTTTAATTTGACCAAAGAGGGATAGTGAGCAAGAAAGCAAGCTGTCAGACCCAGGTCTGGAACCACAGTTGGCTGTGTGGGAGTCCAGGAAAGGTTCAAAGCAGATGCATTAAAAACCAGTCTTTATTTTTTACCCCATTGCTAGATAAGGGACCTAGAAAACAAGATGTGACTGTTCATCTAATCCATGAAGTTATGCTAACAGATAAAAGGTAGTAGCATTTTCATTACCAGTGACTAAAACACTTTTCTACTGATGGGGCAGCAGTGCTTGCTCTCCTTAGAATTACATCCTTGGCTCCCATCAGAAGTTGGGAGAGGTGATGTATATTTGAGAAGCCATCTGTTCAGGAGTAGGTGTGATGTTCTAAAAGATTTAAACTACTTTAGAAGCTTTACTGTTATAAATCATTACTGGTTCTGGATTGTTGGCATGGCTTTGGTTCTGGAGTTTCTCAACCCAATCCCATAGGACCTTAAGGCTGACTCAGGAGCAGTTTTTACTTGGGATTCAAAGCAATTACTGAAGAAGCATTCTCTTCTAGTTAGAAAATGAATTTGTGATTCAGAAATCCCTAAAGGCATGGGCACTAAGCAACAAAATATGCATGCATGTGTTATTAATTGTCGTTTTCTCTTACAGCTGTATGCAGACAAAGTTCCAAAGACAGCAGGTTGGTATCATTTTCTGTGCTTAACAGGGGTGTAGCAGTTGTAATATGTGTGTATTTATTTGTTTGTTTGTTTTTAAACAGAAAACTTTCGTGCTTTGAGCACTGGAGAGAAAGGATTTGGCTATAAGGGTTCCTGCTTTCACAGAATTATTCCAGGGTTTATGTGCCAGGTATGAAATTTAGTGATTTCTGTTTGGATTGCTCCTTTAAATTAGGTGATTGAGCTGGAATATTTTAGGATGCACACATCTGAGCTCTTCTATTTTTATTCCACTTAACCCTGCTACACAGTTTAAAATTGGTTCAAGAGTTGGAACTTTGCAGACATGGCATGCTTTCTGGTTATGTTGTCAAAAGTAATAAGTTCCACTGTCATGTTCACAGGGTGGCGACTTCACACGCCATAATGGTACTGGTGGCAAGTCCATTTATGGTGAGAAATTCGAAGATGAGAACTTCATCCTGAAACATACAGGTCCCGGCATCTTGTCCATGGCAAATGCTGGACCCAACACAAACGGTTCTCAGTTTTTCATCTGCACTGCCAAGACTGAGTGGTAAGGGTGTATAATAGCATAGCAAATGCAAACAAAGACTAGATGAGGAGTCTTTTATTACTAAAACTAGTTACTTGATTGGCTTTATCCTAATGTTTCATCACTGAGGTGTAGTGAAAGAAGAATATACATGGCTACAAATGCCTAGGTGGTTCTGAATACAAGATACCGGTAATAAGAACTGGATACTTGACTGGGTTGAATTGTGTGCTCCTTTGTAATTAGCATGTAATTGTCTTTAAGAGTTCTATACATTATAATTCTAAATATTTGAGAATTTCATTCCTCATTTTAAAAATTGGTTTATAGTAAACTACTACATTACTGTGTCTTTTTAGGTAAATAAGGTAATAACCAGTATTTAGTACAGAAAGACTAAGCCACCATCTGACATCTCTTAGGTGTCTATTGGTTTGTGGGGGCACTAATCTCATCTCAGTAGTGTAGGCTGCTTGTTTATATCTGGTCACTATTAGTAGTGATTGTTCTGTTTCCAGGTTGGATGGCAAGCATGTGGTCTTTGGCAAGGTGAAAGAGGGCATGAATATTGTGGAAGCCATGGAGCGCTTTGGGTCCAAGAATGGCAAGACCAGCAAGAAAATCACCATTGCTGACTGTGGACAACTCTAATGAATTTGACTTGTTTTCTCTTAACCACCAGACCATTCCTTCTGTAGCTCAGGAGAGCACTTCTCCACCCCATCTGCTCGCTATGTCCTATAACCTGTGCTCTCACTGCAGTTCTTTGGGTTCCATATTTTCCTTATTCCCCTCCAAATCTAGCTGAATTGCAAAGTTAAGTTTATGATTATGAAATAAAAACTAAGTAACATTTGTCTGTCCATGTTTGGGTTGGGGGTGTTGGTCTCATTTTAAGCAATTACATGTTACTTTAAGGAAATGGTCATGTGTCTGCTTAATTCCAGAATACTTTGGTTTTGGCTTCCCTGACCTAAGATTTGATTATTTATTTATTTGAGAGAGGTTTTTGCTATAAGGGCGCGTGCACTCGCCAGAGAGAGACAGAAAGCGAGAAATCACCACCAGGGGTATGGTCACACCGCAATCCCCTCTCCTCCATTCTCCTCTCGGGATCTTGGGCACGCATGCACACGCGCCCAGTGTGAGTTTTAAGCCACTGGGTCCGGAACGCAAATCGCGGTCAACTACGTGGGAGTCCAGCAACATAGCCATTATGCTAACTGCTGGTTCCTACCTAAGAAATCTCTATTAAAAGTCCCAAGGTATGCTTCAAGTGGAATAGTGAAAATATAGACAGGGCAGGAAAAACAAGGACCGAGAAGTCTTAAGAAATTGTAGCTTAGAGGGACCAGCAGGTGACCTGGGGGTTAAGGCACGTATGCTCCCCTCTGGGTAGGCAGCTACAGTTTGAGTCCTGGACCTGGTGACTTGCTTTCTCACTTTACCCCCTCTGTCTCTGGTCTAATAAAAAAATTTACTATAGTTTAGGGAAATGCTAGATTTAGGGACTAGTGCTTCTCCCTTGAGGTTCAGTTTGTAGGTGAATGCATACAAAGCTTTTTTTAAATTATTCCATTTGTTTTTTTTGGAGAGGTTTTTGCTGCGGGGGGTGTGTGTGTGCGCGTGCGTGCGTGCGTGCGTGCGCGCGCGTGCTCACCAGACAGCAAGAAGTCACCCCCCAGGAGGATGGCCATGCCACAATCCCTTTTCCTCCATTCTCTTGGGATCTTGGGCATGCATGCACATGTGCCCAGCGTGAGTTTTAAGCCACCGGGCCTGGGACGCGAACCACTGTCAACTACATGGGAATCCAGCGACCTAGCCATTACACTAACTGCCGGTTCCATTAATAAAATTTGGGGACCAACAGTAGTTGTAATGGCTTATGTCGCTGGGCTCCTGTGTAGTTGACCTCAGTTCAAGTCCCAGGCCTGTGTGTGTGTGCCAGAGATCCTCAGAGGAGAAGGGATTGTTTGTGTGGCCATCCCCCCTGGGGGGTGATTTCTTGCTTTCTGTGTCTTACTTGCAAGCAGCCCTATAGCAAAAACCTCCCCCCAAAAAGGAAAGTTGACCAGAGCAAGAAGAAAAAGCAGCTAGGTCCCAGACTGGCCATGTGGGAATCCACCCTCAAACTACCACATCACCTGTTGGCCTTAGTACATAGAGCTTTTTTTTTCTTTTTTAAGGTTTTTACTATAGGGTGTGTGCGCCTGCCAGAAAGCGACAAATCACCCTCCAGGGGGGATGGCCACACCACAATCCCTTCTCCATTCTCCTCGGGATCTTGGGCACACACACAGGTCCACAACGCAAACTGGTCCACCACGTGGGAGTCCAGCGACATGGCCATTACGTGAACTGCTGGTCCCAGTACATAGAGCTTTTAGTTATGTGCAAAGTTCTTAATGTAGTTGAATCTAGGAAGAAAAGGCACTGAAGTTGGAATTGAAAGGGCAGGTGCCTGTTACTTTACAGAGAAAAGCAGTAGATGACTTGCCATGTACCTCAAAGTATATCTGGCCTGACCATGTGTGAGTCAAATCTAGTCAAGACAAGACTTACAGCCTTGTCTCCTGTCTATAATCAAGAACTTGTTTCTGTACAATTAAGCATAAAGGCCGGGCTCTAGAGCTATGGTAGGGGTAGTATAAGTGCCTGATGAGGCAAAGCTATTTGATGACTGGGTCCAGATCCCTAGGTCAGCCCTAAAAGTGGTGTGGGCACTCAAGATGTTGCTGGAGTGTTGGCTGTGTAGAGGGCTTGACAAGGAACACCCTCACTTTCATGTGAACTTTTAACTGCATGCTCTTAAAGACTGATGAATTCAAAGGACAGCCCTTCCACACATATACATTAAAATCTATACTACCTGAGCTGACCAGTTATCTGGGTCTACATCCTGAAGTGACAGTGCCCTTGACTGCTTTGCTTTGTAATTGTCAGGCTGCCTGACTGTTACCCTCTGAGTCAACTACTAGTAGACTTCCTAACAACTTTTTTTTTTTTTTTTTTTTTTTTTGCTATAGGGTGCGTGCGCTCACCAGAGACAGAGAGATAGCGAGAAATCATCCCCCAAGGGGAATGGCCATGCTGCAATCCCTTCTCCTCCATTCTCCTCTCGGGATCTTGGGCATGCACACACA